TTATGGTATTACACTTAGTAACTCATGGCCTGTAATGGCCATGCATAGTCCATGTATAGTTCGCCATCTTGTCTCTATGCCAGGGAGTTTTCTTTTGACCCAACATTTTAGCCTTTTTTGAACAGGGAACATGGGATGATGTATTCTCTTCTGGAACTGCTTCGAGTTGGCATTGGGGCACCATTGTCAGCTCCCCAAAGGCTGAAAATCTAGTCAAAGACTGGGCAGGGGACATTTGTTAGAAGAGAAGAATCATGTTAGCTGGGCTGGTCCACGTTAGCCTTTAGTAAGTTCAGAGCCGATAGTCTTCTGGAGCAGTGGAGTCAGCAACTGAAACTTGGAGGCGTCTGCCAGACAAGTAGAAATCTGTTGAGACAAATTTAAACTAGGAACAGAAGTTAAAATTTATGAACTTATTTGGAACCCTTAGGTCCATACCCTTAGTAATGGGAAAAGCAGTAGTCCCAAGATCAGGAGAGAGGAAAAATACCATCTTTAGGAATACTCATCTGGGGTCCTTTCAACCTCTGTGAGGTGGGTCTAGGTTTTTATAACTCTTTTGATCCTTTGAGGCCTACTTACAAAATGACATGAAAGTTTTAAATACATTAGTATTACCAATCTGTACTGAAATCCATATTGTAGACAAAGCAGGTAATGAGTATCTGTAAAACAGCAGAAGTGGACTCCTACCTTTGAGTCCCAACAAGAACTACAGATTTGGGCATTTTTCTTCTGTCCAGAAAGACAGGTATAAGTTGGACAGAGATTTTTGGCCTAGTGAGAAGCACTTTTAGGTTTACATTTAGACGTATTTAGATGACATCTAAAACAAATCCATAATGTTGAGCTTGTGACTGAACAGTAAGTAGTCATTACTCGATCAGCTCAGCAGGACTCCTAAATGTTAAGCTCTGAACCATAGAACAGAAGAGTAATCTGAAACATCTCATTTTAGACTCATATCTGAACCTTTATGATTTATTTAAACTTTTATATCTTAGAACATTTTTTAAAGGTGAACTAACAAGCTAGTTATGGCCTTGTAGAAGAATGTTGTCTGATGCTGCCATGCTGACAAAGTTAGAGCTAGCCTAGCCATCAGTACTGTCAGAGATCTGAGAAGGATAAACTATATCTGAGTGCAGACCAAGAAGCATCCAATCCTATAAATTATAGGGACCAACCCCTACCCAGGTCTCCATAGCGTTGGAGGCACCAGTCAGAACAGCATCAATCTTCTTCCGCCATCAGGCCCATAAGGCAGAGTATTTTTCCTGTGGAATAGGGACACAGAAGACTGACCTTGACCAGGCAAAAGAGTGTAATCAATTTCAGTGTCCTACTGCTCATCCACAGTCTGGGCTGGGTCCTGGCAGCAGGTGTTGCATTGGAGCATCTTGCCCTGTGGTCAGCATTGTCATAATCCAGGCAGAGATGTTGTGGTGCCTCATACGTAATCTTCTTCAGAGACCTTGGGTCACTGCTAGGATCTGGAAGCCTGTTTGATATAATAAACTTTTAGATCAACATTTAAATGTCATATTCTGCTGATCTCTGAAGTATGAGGGCTGTCCAGGTATCTGAATAGACAAACTTAGTTTCTAATTACTTGTTTCAAGCTCAACCCTGAAAACATATGCAAGGGACTGAGTAAATGAGTAAACTTATCCCTATAATATTATATCAGTACTTATTCACCCTGACTATAATTAAAAAGAAACTTGATTACTCATGACTGACTATTAAAAACAATGCTTTTAAGTTGAGGCTCTTTTAGCATCAAATACAGGTTCAGTAAAGAAACCAAAACAAAATATCAATATATGTATCAGCTTATTCAAATAACTTAAGTTTAACAAACTTAGCAAATACAAGGAGGCTAGACAACATTCTTAAGCCTGAATGTACCTTGGGTAAGGAGAAACATTTTTAAGTAAAAGATTAAGATAATCTTTTTGGTTCTTTTACTTAGAGCCTTGGATGATTTCTTTGACCCTACCTTTGGCAGCATATACATAGCCTGTCTGTTTTATTTTATTATGGCTGGTGTTTCCGGTGATCATCACCTGACACTGGCAATTTTTAAACTGCTAAGGTCCACCATAGCAACCAGACTCTTTTTGGAACTTTAGTCCTGTCATATATTTGTAAACCTCAGCTGTTTTCTATGATCCTTTTATGTTTTTAAAGTCATTATAATTTTACATGGGTAAATCTTAAATTATAAAGTTTAGCTGTCAGAGCAAGGTATATTCCTGTATAAAAGCATTGATGTGCAGCTTTAATATTTATCAAATATCTTATTTATTAAACATATGTTATTATCTATTTAAATTTTTTAGAAACTTGCTGTTGAACACTTGGTAAAGACATAAGTACTTAGGTATTTATATATATTATATATAATATGTATAAACAATAATTACTTGCATATATATACACGGTTGGATGCAAGTTACATTCATACATACATACAGTTAAAACTTGCTTACATTTCCAAGTCATATACCTGTCCATATACACACATAAGCAGTTTGCAGAATCATTAGCCATTTTTAAGATGAAAACCAACCAGAATTAACTTTCAAATTCAGTATTTGCAGGTACAAGAAACCATAACAGTTTACTGACCTTTTATAACATTTTATATCAAAGTCTTTTTTGTGATTCCCCTCAGTAATCTAGAATATACTGTAAAGTTATAATATTTTAAACAAGAACAGAAATACATGCATATATCATAACAAGAATAAATCTAAATTGGCATCAGCACTGTACCACAGACAAGAAACTGTTGGTTAGCCTCATACAGTGAATGACATTTCATTCTTGGAGCCAGACTCTGATCAGCTTTTAGCCCCAGGGCATGTCTTGGGAGCCCCACCCAACAGCATGGGAGATGAAGAGGATGGGAAGGCATGCACCATGGGGACAAAAGATTGCTGTTAATCTCAGAATTTCAGTACATGAGAGCGGCAGACTGAAAGTGACTCCATGCCCTGGCTGGGCCCACAGGCCTGCAGGCCGTTCCTCAGCTGTGACCCTGGAAGGGCAGTTAGTTCTCCACCAGCCCCCAAACTCTGAGCTCCTCGAGACTCTTTAAGAGTAAGAACAATGTTTTCCAATTCTGCATTTCTTAAGTCTGACACATCACCTAACATAAACACCTGTAATTAGGCTCTGGTCATCATAGATCTGATCTCCACATGTCCCTTTTTTGTACTCCAAACATGATTCAGGTTACTTCATTCTCAGATGATTTTTTTCAAGTTGTTCCTTTCTCTGAGATGTTCTCCTCCCCTAACATCTTTCATCTAGCAGGCCAGCTAGGCACTTTCCTAATCCCATCTCTCCAGGACCTAGAGCTAGTGGTGAGTAACCTTTCTGTCTTCAGATGGTTAGAACTTGTCATCCTCACTTAGCACTGTTTGATGTCTTGTAGTCTTTTAGGACAGCTCTGACAACAAAATAATCTCAATGAGTTATCAACAACAAAAAAAAGATACCAAGTTAATGGGATAACAAAGTGGGGTGTGGATCTGGTAGGAGTAAGGAGGAGGAGTTTTAGGTAAACACGATCAAAGTACATTGTAAGAAATTCTCAAAGAAAATTTTTAAATAAAAAATAATACCTTTCAAAAGGCTAAGATTTGCATGGGATGCACTTCAGACAGAGGACTCAAAAGATCTAAACTGAATTTGACCTGAAAACCTCCTCCCTGAGGATTAACTTTCGTAGTCACCAAAGGTGTGAAAACTACCTCAATAGGGAAGCAACTGGTAGTACCACCTAATTATGAAGATTATGAACCACAACAATGACCAGCAAGGCTGTTCCCTAAGGTTCAATAGTGGCAATAATATCTTGGCAGCAACCAATAGCTGTCTAATTATATTCAAGGTCCACTCAACAGAAGAAACCTAGCCAACTACTCAAGGTTAGTGAGGCCATTTGTCTTATAGATGAACCTACTACAGCCCTTCATTAAACCAGCATAATACCTATCTAAATTCTACATACCCTTATGTCCACCAATAAGTGTGGCTCTTAACTCTTACCAAAGAAGCTTCTTTCTGTAACAGACAGAAACCAATACAGAACTCCACAAATGGTCAAAATGCAGAGAACACTGATCATGTGATGTCCAGCCCCCATGGATACATCTACAACACAATTCCTACACCTAATGCTCAGAGAGCATTGTAGAAGTGGAGGCAGAAACATTAGAAGAGCCATAGGACAAGGAAATCTGCTATAATATTGTGTCTCCTGGAAATGACTAGGAAGCTTCAGGCATGAAACTTCAGTTATATACTGCCTAAACAAGACCTGAACAAGTAAACCAGCAATAGATCTGCAGACATGGAAGGGGGCTCTCATGAGGCCTCACCCTTAGACAAAGAACTATAGTTAACTAAAGGGTACTGAGAAGGGGGGAAGTAGCCTTCCATCAGGAAAGGCCCCCTAATCCGTTATCTAATACCAAGTGGTCAGTCATGAAATCATGTACGTGCAAACAACACTGAATGGACTCAGTAGACCGTGTTTACACATTAAATATAAATATGCAACAATAACAATTTAGAAGAGGCTAGGAATTTGAAAGGGAGCATTGGGAGGTGGGGACAAATGGAGGAGGTTGGAGGAAGAAAGAGGAATGGATGGAAATGATGCAATTAAATTTTCATAAAAATAGTTTGCATGGAAACTTTTCATTATATAACTGGGAAGCATTAACAAGAGTCAGTATATGTTTATTCACTTTTGCATTTGTTAATGACTATCAAGCATAAAATCTGGACTTGATTTTTAAACTTCATCCAGAAATAATGATATATGAATGTTACTGGAATTATGATTGGTAAGGTTTTCTGATTTTGACATTCTCTAAAATTTTAGGAATACTGTAAGTGATTCTAAAGCTGCTTGCCTCTAATTTATTGATTGGAACTATTATTGAACTGACCTGAATTTTTACCCTTGCCTGTATTTAAAGGTGTCACCAGCCCTCTGCATTCCTTGCTGACCATTCTCTATGTGAAACTTTCCCTTTTGGGGATCATTTTGCTCATTATGGGATTTGCTTTCTTCCAGAAGAGAAATTACTTCAGGTAGGAACAGAGAACTGAAATGTTAAGATGTGTTAGAAAACATTGTCATGAGTTTGAGCTCACAGTGGACTGGGAAAGTCTGTTATATGGCCCCATCAAGGTTGTTCCCTCAGCCCTTCTTCAGCATCAGACTATTTTAAACAATGGAGCCCGGAGCTCTGACAAAAGGTCTGCCTTGCTGCAGTTCTGACTGAGCAGGGACTTAGCCGGCCCTCTCTTTTGGGAATCAGTGGTAGAAATGAAGTTTTGGAACTTTATGAGTTTATTGACAAGTTTCCTGACTTGTGTGGGTTTCTGTTCATTCCTGCTTAATTGTATTTTTTGTTTATTTCTAGAAAATGAAAATCTAGATTTCTGAAGCCTATTGGTCTGATGACACAATACAAGAAAGCAGCCACTTGCAGTCACCTTTCTAGTTGACACCCAGCATACCTGCTCCTGATGTCTCCATGTGTGCTAGAAGTCATGTGACAGCTGGCAGTCATGCAGTATGAATACACAGGAAAAAGCTTGGTGCTTACCATCTCATGTGCTATTAATTACCATGCACTCTCTCCCATCCCTGCTTCTCATGCCAAAGAAGACAGCTTAGCAAAAGATGAACAACAGTGCTGGGTGTATTTCTTCCACGCAAGTCCTCCTGGAAGGGCTTCCATCAACTCCTCTTTGTTGGTTCATTTTACATGATCATAAATATTGCACTGTCAGATACCGTGAGAGCAACACCTTCAAGTCAGCCACTAGCTGGTCTTCTTTCCTTGCTTGCTTGCTATCAAATAGCTGGACAGTTGCCTTTTATATTAAAATTTGAATACATGACTAGGAGCCATGTTTTTTAGCAGTATCTCTGTGCTTTAGTAGAGGTTTAAAGTTGAACCCAGTGAAGGCACTGCCAGTGTCATGGAGGTAACACTGAAATCCCCTTACTGTTTAGAGCCCCATTGTCTCAATTCCCTTTGCTGTCTGCATGGTGACTCACAGGGATTGGGATGGATCAGTGAGGGTAAGGATAAGACACTGATAAACCCTAGTAACTGTAAACCAAGACCTTGTCTTTACTTGATACAGACAGTAATCCTATAATAAAAATATATATTCTTAGCTAAAAGAATTATTTCTTGGATAAAGTATCAAGTGACTGGGCTATTACTTTTATTTTTAGTAAAAGTCTATGGAGAAAATAAATGCATGATACTAGAGGATACCTGGATGGTAGCCTCAAGTGGTTCTTGAAAGGTTTGAGTCTTGTCTATTGCACACTCTAATATAGTTGATCAGGCTAGAACAGAGGATAAATATTTGGATTAATCCATGGAGTCTATTTAATGATCAAAGATTTCCTTTGGGGATAAACTCACAACCATGGGAGATTTATTGTAGGGTCCTGGAAAGCTGAGCTATGGTCCATGCTGAACAGCTTGGTCCAACATCTCAGCATCCAGAACCATGAGGTAGCCAAGAGGGGCCAGCACACGTGTATCCCAGGTCTTACAAGTCCCCCATGGCCACACACCAGAGGCTGGTACCTCAAGGTCATAAGCAGGTGTAACAGCTACACCTGCCTCACTAGGGGTGGTGCTTCAGGGCATGGCTCAAATAGTTACCCACTACAGATAAACGGGTATTTCTCTAAACTACTGTTTTATTCTATAACTCTCTTCTCTGAGTAGTTTCTATTCAGCACGTGACTAGGGAGAGGGAAAGATTGTAAGTGCAATACTTTATGAGTCAGTCCTGGAGTAGTAAGCACACCTGCTCAGATGCCATGCCTAGTACTCAGTTATATGACCTCACTAACTTGTAGGAAGCCTACGTAGTGTAGGTGGTTAACTTGAAGAGAAAGAATGAGCCTTGGCGCACACTTAGCAAATCTCTGCACACAATAAAGAGAAGGAAGAGTGCTAGTATCAAGATTATTGTCTACTTTAATAGTAGGAAATCACCATGTGTCAAGCAATAAATCTATTCATAATTGTCACTCAAACACATGTAAGGTATGAGCTCTTTTTATCTCCTATTTTATTACAATGTCTTCATGTTTAAGTCAAGACATAAAGGGGGAAGAGATCTAGCACTATAATTCTGTAACAGACTAGGAAATACAGGGGCAGAGATTGTATGTAGCTTGGTTCCTTGTCTATATTCCCTGTTCTACTTGTGATAGACAGTTCTCTTCATGATTAAATCTTCATCCTACCTCTAGTCTTGTTTTTAGTAGATCTTAAAATTCTCTTTATAAAGACTTCATGGGCACTCTTTTTTCACTCCAAGTAGTTTTCTCTGGCCAATAACAAGTTACATAAATGGCAGTTTGTCAGTTTTGAGTTTGGGTTTCAACAGGTTCTGAGTGCTTCTACTTTTCATTCCTTGGGAAGATGCAAGACATAGCCTGCTGGAGGATGAGAACAGAATACAGCTGATCCAGGTCAGTCAAGACTTTCATCTCTCTCTTGAGACCAGTTCAAAGATACAGGAGTCAGCTTTCCATTAGACCCTGAACAAGCTCAATCAAGATCATGAGACTTGAGCCTGGGCTGATCCTAGACAAATGAACAGTCATTGCCGCAGAGTTCATGTGGTTGCTTATCAGGTAGCACATTTGAGTGTTAAGTAACTCATACATTGCTCCATAATCCAACTCCAATTTTATAAGTAACTCATATTGCTCAATAAGATACCTCTCATTTTCTCATGACAGACATAGCTAATAGCCTCCTTCAGTTTCCCTTGCATCTGAACCTGACCATTAGCCCTGTCATAAGTGATATGTGATGTTTTCAGGTCAACCTTTTAATAAAAAGAAATATTTTCTTTTGCTTTCCAAGTTATCTGTGGAACTGCAGTGCTGGTGTGATGCCTGGTGGTCCCAGTGTTACTTTATCGTGGATAATGGTGAGGATGGAAGCTACTAATTGAAGTGAATAAACAGAACTATGGAAGGACTTGGGCCTGATGACCATTGATTTACCCCATCCAACTCACGACCATCCATTTGTTGTCTTGTGTAATAGAGAATAAATTATGTTTTTCACAACAGTGTATTTGAGGTTTTACTTTTCATATAGCTGAGTTTAATTCTAATTGAAACAATACTTAGTTCATCAATTGGCAAATTTACTATGATAGAAATTCATTGTGTTCTATTCATCATGCTCATGTTCTGGATCATTTTTGTTCTTCCCTTAATGATAATGAAACCAGGAGAGTGAAATCGTGTGTCAGAGTCATCTTCAGGATAATTTTAGAAGAATTTGGAAAGTGCTTGAATCTGAGGATGTGGAAAGATGATCCAGTAGTTAGACGATCTCTAGATATTTGAGGACATGTCTGTGCTGAGGGACTGGGGAGAAGAAACATTGCATGGTTTCCCAGGAGGGGTCTGAATAGGGAGAGAAAGGAATTGAAATAGACTGCACTCATCACTAGTCAGAAAAACAGATGTGGCAGCCAGACTCAGCTCACGGCCACAGTTTTCGATCTGGTGTTAGCTGAAAGAGTATAAGGCTACACAGCTCCCTTGTCCAACCTCCTCATCTTCCTTCTCTACACAGATGTGGAAAAAGTTTCCTTTTTGGACCATGCATGCATGTATACACACATATAGGCATGTATGAGTACATGCCCTTGAATGTTTATATATTGTGATGCTCCCATGTCAGAAACTAGATGAAGATGCTCATGTCTTTTCACAACACTAGAATTTACTAAATAACAATAAATTCATAAAGTACACTGTCCCATTGACAGCAATTTGTTAGGTAGTACCAAGTCTGACTAAGGCAACCTATGATAGTTGACTGAGGCAACCTAATTTCTTTTGTTCCAAACTTAACTATTAGTTAATATTAATTAACTAATTAATATTCACTGTCAGATCATATTTTACATATCTCACAGAAAATATGTCTATGTATCTATATATGTGTTATGTGTGCATATATCTGTCTATCATCTATCTATCTATCTATCTATCTATCTATCTATCTATCTATCTATCTATCATCTATCTATCACCACTACCTATGTGGTTTACAGAATGTGGACAAAGGGATAAAAAAGCTGCAGCAGACTTTACGATGTTCCAAAGAGTCCTAGTTGAGAGGCACAAACAAACTGATAGGGATTCTCGAAGTGCCTCCAGGGAGAGGAAGGGTCCAACAACTAACCCCAAGAGCCTGTCAGAGATGCTGCTCTTACTATTGCAGAGTCAAGTTGCAGGGGCAGCGTTTAGCTTCCTGAGAGTTGAATCAAGCTGTATAAGCAAGGTGCAGACCAGGGAGGCATCAGAGCCAAATGGTTCTTACAGATGATTGATGGATGGACCGATGGCAGTCAGCAGCAAGGGCCAGGCCAAGCTGAAGCCCCTGGCACAGTTAGCAATTTTATGCATGTTGGTTCCTTGACTCACACACACGGTGGTTGGATAACAGGTTAGTGCTGGGGGATGTCTTTCTGTGTGTTGTGAATATATGTTGTTCCCAATGGTTAATATCTAAGATGCCTTGGCTTAGAGGCAGGCGGGAAATCCAAGGAAAGAGACAGGAAAGAGAAAGGCAGAGTCTGGAGAGATGCCAACCTCTAAGCTACCTTGCCATAGGCCAAAGCAGCTTATTTATTCACCAGTGGGAACAACATATATTCACAGCATGCAGAAAGACGTCCCCAGCAGGTTGGTGAGGCTGCTGGCATCACAGTGTTAGGTGTCCTCCTCCTTATGCAGTACAGGTGAGGATGTTTATCCTTCCCTCAATCTGGTCCATTCAATATGTCCTTGGGCCTGGTTTTCCTGATGTGACTATATTTGCATATAGTCCTCATTGGCTTTGATAACTGTGTAGGGTGCTGCTCTTACTTCTGGGTCTCTCAGTCTGTGCCTCCTGGGTGGCACTGAGCAAGTCGTGGTGTTTATATCCTAACAAGCTCACCCTGCTTCTGCACTCGCACCCAAAATGGAGTCTGATGCTCTTGTATAATGGAGTCTCTCCGGGTAAGGCATGGCTGCATAAGCTACCATTGTGTACAATATCACCATATTCAGAGCAGGGCAATCTGATCACAGACTATATAATCTTACTCAAAAATCAGTATGGTCTCAGATGGAGGGAAATTGGAAGCACAACACAGTTGAGAACCACTAGATGGTGCTTCGACTTAATTCTTTTTAACATTTTGAAGCAAACTAAAATGAACTTTGCCTGAGGCAAAGTCACCCTGTATTTCTTCATTTTTCCATGGAACGAGCCTACATCGCATCAACTCTTTAGCTTTTCTCGGGTGCTGTTTGGAATAGCTACAAGAAGAGGAGGAACTAAGCTTTTACTTAAGGAGAAAAACATCTTTTCAGTTCCTAAACGTGGGCTGCTCTTTTCACTTAATTTTAGTAGAAATGTTTGCTTACCAAATGAGTTGGGAGTGGACACTCACACTTGAAAGAAGGAGGATCTTCTTTTAAATTTTCTCCACGGGTGAACCAAGGTTAGTATCATTTCTTCAGATGTAGAAAAATTGCTTGCTAGTGTCAATGACTTTGGGTAAAATGAGCTCTCCTTTCTCACTTCCTAGGTCCTCCCCCTTCATATCTAGAGGCATATACAGTATTCTAATGCTAGAAGAAAGCTACAGATAAATTAGGTCAACTTCCTCATTTTCTAAAAGAGGAAACCGAGACTCTCAGATTCAGTGGTCATGCGGTGTTACTAAGAAGTCAGCTGCTCTGCTTCACTGCTTACCCAGAGAACACAGCTACTTTCCAAGGCCAAGCCAGACAATGGCACTCTCAGAGGAAGAGGTTTGGTCATATCTTACTCGTAAGGCCCCAGAGCCCCCACCGGCCTCATCTTTCTCGTCTGATTGGCCAAGCTCATGTGATGCCCAGAAAAGAAGAGGGGAAGATACTTAATACTGATTAGTCCTTTTGCGGAGACAGGCGGACCCGGGCGGAGAGCTGGGCTTAAGATCAATCTTCTACCAGGCACAGGTCCTTGTGGGAGAAGAGCGTGTGGAGACCTGGGGCACTGTGAACAAGACAGAATGGGAGGATGTGTGGGAGGCCTTGCTGATGAAGGTGGTGACAGTCGGACTGAGTTAAAAGATGCACACGAATCTGACAGTGGGAAAGCTCAGGGAAGACAGGCAGAGCAGGAGGAGAGGACGGCCTGGGTGGTCAGGGTGGGTCTCCGTCTGGGTGACAGAAACCGTATGACTTCTTCACGTTTGTCTTGCGTTTCATAAAGTCATTTGGGAACAGAAGACAGTTTTCAAGATCGCCAGCGATGTTCCGCAGATCCAGCTAATCTTGATGAATTTGTAAAGTTCTCTGAACAGAATGTCCAAATCTTCTGACTGATTCACCCAACACTGATTTGAAGATCCAATGAGCAGCCAAGAACACTGGCTCATATGGAGTGGCGAACCAAAACGGGCCTGCATCAGGCAGTGGGTCTGCTGGATGAGGCCAGTGGAGAGGGTGGGCCTTCCTCTCTGAGCTGAAGAAACCACTTTTGCTCAAGTATTTCTCCCTGTTCTGGTTTCCCCTCTTGCAATAAGGATATATAGTTCCTACTATTAGATCAGCTGAAGAGAGGGTTTTGAAGATCATCTTTATCTGGTTATTAATGTCCCTGAAACAGATGCTGTAGAAACACAAAGTCTTGTCTGTCAGCCTATCCAAAGGGTCCTCGTGTCCCAGGAAAATGTTTCAGGGCTTTCTTCCTCATTACTCCTGCCTTCTCCCCCTGTGAGAGACTCTGAGAGCTCACACATGGGTGAACACAGACAGGATCCCATGACCGGTCTGTCTTTCTCTGTGAAGCTTTGGAGGTTTAGTCATTATGAGAGAGAAGAATCTATCTGTCATCCAGCATTGCAGAGGGAAGCTCTGGGGTGAAACGAGACTGTCTACAACTCTAACCAGAGGAAGAGAGAAAGCCTCCACAGACTCACATTCATCAACAGTAAACAGAACACAGTACGTCAAAACAGGAGGAAACATGAGGTTCAACTCAATATTAGAGCTTTTAGGGAAAAAGAAAAAAAATCACATTCCAAATCGTTCGAATGATGTGCCTGTCACTAAGAATGGATCCTGTATTAAAAAAAAAAAAAGAATGGATCCTGACTGGGAGACATTTATGAGGGACTGATCATATACTGTTGCCTGGTAACGTGATGAAAATGCTTGAGTACATTACACTTCTCAGTTTCTCTTCCGAAAACAGAGTGCCAAGCCCTCTGGAGGACAGTGGTCTGGGGTTAAGATGAGATTTACCACCATTTTGAAAGGTATCTTGTCTACCATGCAGCATCCCGAGGTTCCCAGACAGCCACAGAACCTATCAGGAAGACGGATCTGATGTGGTTGTCAAGCTTTTCAATGGACATGAGCACTTCTATAGACCCAAGTGAGGCTGTGTGGGACCTAGGAGCCAGGCAAGGTTATATATTTTAATTTTTTTCCTGCAAGAAGACCCCATGGCTTATTTACAAACCCCAAATTCCTTCATTCCCAGTCTTAAAGCTTTTGGCCCGAGAATATCATCCGCAGCCTAACACCTTTAAAGAAACTCTCCCACAGACCTGCCCTTTCTGGGGAACGGAAAATTGCAACATCATTTACAAGACAGTGAAAACCAAGCAGCGTCCCAAGATATCAGCTCCAAAACGCTACAGTGAATGTCTTGGGACTAGCAAGAATGATTAAACAGCTCCCGGGCCAGCAAGAAGCATCTGTCTTTAGTCATTTTCCCCACGCAACATAAAATGTGCCGAGAAAGGCAGCCATGCCAGCAGGGGTGAAGGAGGTCAGTCGCTGGTAACATTTTCCACTGTTCTCTTACAACTACGGCCTCAGATCCCATTACCGCCCAAGTGCCTGTCAGTGGATGGTACTGACTGATGCAGGCCAACGTGGCCCATCCCTTTCCATTAAAAAGAAGCGAACAGGCAAAACCTCTAAGGCCCAATTTTACAAGATAGGAACTATCCGTGCCCAACACACGTGAAATAATATCCAGCCTACCCATTAATAATCAAGGCAGTGGCAATTTTAAAGGTGTCAATTTCATAAGTCAAATGATGCTGTTCATACTTTTGATAGACTCCATGGTTGAGAGAGGGAAGGGGGCAAGCAGCATCTGATGAAAACACAGGCCTAGACAGCAGAGGGCGGTTCACAAGCATGGGCTATCAGTCCCACCTTCAGTATGCACTGAATACAGCCATTCACCTGCACCAGGGAAATGCTACAGCATGATTTATAACAGCAAAAGAAGAGGCCAGTGGGGGTTAGATCTCAGTACCATCAGCATCACTTTTTAGAGGGACACAGTGTTATGAAGTAGCCAAAAGGAGTAAGGTTACCTTGGCAGAAGCTGTGAAAAATGCCACCCTGTCTGCGCCTTTTGCTCTGCCTTCTCCTTCCACACAGTCCTCTTGCCTTCAGCTAGAGTAGATATTCATAGCATGTTGGCTATTGTTTCTCACCTTCTCGAAAACGTACGGCAGTGTTTCTCAACCTGGGGGTCTTGACCCCATTGGGCTGAAATAACCCTTTCACAGGGGTCACCTAAGACCATCGAAAACACAGATATTTACATTACGATTCATAGCAGTAGTAAGATTACAGTTATGAAGTAGCAACGAAAATCATTTTATGGCTGGGGCTCACTACAACATGAGGAACTGTATTAAAGGGTCGCAGCATTTAGGAAGGTTGAGAACCACTGGCTTATATTGTCTGGCACAGAAGGGGTTCAACCAATTGTTAGAAAATGAATAAGGTATATGCAACAATAGGGGAAGACCCTCAAGGTATAATAATAATAAGGAGCAAGCTAGAGAATAATACACAAAAGACGAAATTCGTGTACAGCAAGCATGAAACAGTCTTAGAATGCATTCTAATTTCTGTTTCCAACTTGGCCATCTTAGGCTCACTATGTCAGAGAGACACAAGGAGATGAGAGGTAGAACTGCCACCTACGTGAGTGAGTCTTCCTAAGTCTGGTCTTCCAAAGCATAAATGTTTTTAGGGGAACAAAGAATTCACAATCATCTCTGCTTACTACTCTAAACAAGAAAACCAAATTGCTTCCAACTGAGACTTGGACACATGGAGCAGTGAGAGCATGGATTCTTTTGTGGGGTGTGAGCGGTGGGGGGCTGTCTCTCTCTCTGGCAGAGCCCAGACAGTGAATGCCCTAGGGAGTTTTGGCAGAAAAGACAGTGGTTACCTCTGAAGGACTTCTCTGGCTTTGACAAGCTCTATAAGATGTTTTTTTATTGAATTTAATTAGTTTTTAAAGTTTTAATTTATTTATTTGTTGTTTGTTTGTGTGTGTGCTCATGCATTTGGAGGTCAAAGTACAGCTTCACATATCACCCCCAGGAATGCTGTCTACATCCTTTAAGACAGAGGTTATCTCATTGGGCTGGAGCTCATCAATCCAATTAGAGGAGACTGGCTGGCCACTGAGCCCCAAAGCTTGACCTGTCTCTGTATCTCAAGTGCTGGGCTTTCAAATGCACACCGCCACATCTGGCTTTATTTTTATTCTTATTTTTAAACAGAAGGCTATTCTTACCTTCACAAACCTTGACATGGTCAAGTCATTTTCATTTTGAAAATGTACTGAAGTTTCCTTTCCTAAATGCTTTTGATAAGACAACATGGAGGGCCAGCCAGATGCTTTCCTAACTACTAGCAAATTGAGATAGGCATAGTGGAAAGGGGGAAGAAGGGACTGATTGGCTGAGAGTAATTCGTATTGTTTTCTTGTAAACCAGAGTAGAAGCTGAGCTTTCCACCCGCACCTATATAATTCAGTATGTAAACATAGAAACATCTGGAAGCTTGCAAGCAGGGTAGTAGATGATGGGGAAGAGAAGTTTGATGAGTGATATTTGAATTTTGCACCAAGAGTATGTATAGGTGTTTTCCATAATTCAAAAAATATTTTTTCAGGGATAGCAAGATGGCTCAGTGGGTAAAGGCATTAGCTGCCCAGGGTCACAACCTGAGGTTAATCCCCAGGACCGATGTGATGGAAGGAGAGAATCAACTCCTGCAAGTTGTCATCTGACCTCACATGTGTGGACACACACATACACACACACACACACACACACACACACACACACACACACACACACTAAGTAAATAAATGAAATATAATAAAAAAAAAACCCACATTTTCAAAACAGTGGAAAGTAGCAGAATCTAATGACCTTTCTTGGTAGAAGGTAGGGGAAGAGCCCCTAGACTGACTGAGACAGTGCAAAGGGGCTACCAAGGGTAGATTCAAACAGAGTTGATCTTGCTTACCAATGTGACCTGCAAGAAGCCATGATCTTTCTTCATTTTTTTTCCATTTAGGTCATTTTCTGGCCTGCCTACAGATCTATTTAGCAGCCCAACAACACCAGAACTTATGAAAGTTTGTAACTTAAGAATTAATTAAAGGCAGATGAGGAGAAGAATGGAGCATGACATCAAAGATCTGTCCTGGATATGCCTTCTCAATTATTTTGGAAAACAATATAAAGTCTGATATTTATGACGAGCTCATACTTTTATATCTAGTTTTGATTCCAAGCACATCATAGTGTGTGCAGAATTAATTCTATGTGCTTTGTGCCCCTTCTTTAGTTGGGAAGGCTTTAAAATTAAATTTTCTTTTCTTTTCTAGATGCTTCTGTTTCTTGCAGTTCAGGGAAGATTTTTAAATTATTTCTAGTGTGATAATAAACACTTAAGTATAAGGCTACTGAAGGGAAAACATGTAGACTGACAATCATTTTATTTGTAAATCACTAACTGTTGGAAGACATTGCTGGTTTATCCAAGATTGCAGCCTCCCCATGGCCTAGGATCTTATCTAAATAAGCTCAGCAACATGGAGCTCCTTCCCTCCAGCTAAGCTTCCTGCTTTCTACCTTCCCGTATCTGGAGACTGTCTCTGGTCCTGGAGGATTAAAGCTGTCTCTAAAACCAGATGCCTGATTTCATCTTTAGCTTGACCTTTGGCCCACATCCCTGCTGAGGAGACTTATGCTAGGGGCTCTTCTATAGGACCCTACTGCCACATACTAAGCCTTGTGATAGAAGCATGCCACTTAATGCAAATTAGGGTTCATTCCCAGGCCCCTCAATTCTATATATTTCTCATACTCTGGAATAAAATTGAGCTGATTCACTGAAATCTGTCTTCCGGAGGGTTGTCTTTGTTTGAGCTCATGGGCTGCCAAAGCTTTCTGTCACTCCATCTGCTTCTTTCCTCTCTCAGCCTGGTGGCCAACAGGCTGAAGGGGGAAAGAGGACCCCCACAACAACGTTTGAGAACCCC